GAAATACAAGAAAATTCACAAAAATAAAACGAGATAAAGTCAATTAAAAAAATTGATATATAAAAAACATGTATATGATGTGTGTACTTTCCCGTTCCCCCGTTTTTAGAGATGTGGGTACGGAGGAAAAGAGAGAGGCTTTTATTCTCTGACACTTTGTGAGTCTCCTGACACACGGGGGACACATCTTTATATAAAAGACATCAGAAAGTGCATTTTGCATGATAGGAGACCTTTAACTATTGGCTTTATTAAAAAGGAAAGTCTTCAGCATGCTCCACCTCCGTACTCATGTTGCATTTGTTTCCCAGTGAAAGCCTCCATCCTCACCTCACAATAAACCACGTCAGCTCCGTAATCCAGCGCCAGCAGCCTCATGGGCAGCGTGCCGACCCGAACCATCGGAGCCAGAGCCGTGATGTTCCTGAAGTTCAGCCGCTCCGCCATCATGGAAACGCTCAGATAACAACAGCCTCTATGACGCAATCTGTAAACAAGTAAACAACGTTCTTCAAGACTCAAAGGTTTTATTGCACACAAGCTACAGAGTAGGAATGGCAATGAAAGTCTTCTGACCTGAGCTCCTCCAGCAATGCAACACATAATAAAGTACAAACATACAAAGTAGTGCAAGCAGTCTATATACATGTAAATATAATATGATATGTACAAGAACAGAATATGAAATTAAATAATGTACATCAAGACAAAATTAAATACGGTCTTAGTTTGAGTTGTGAGATAAAAAAGCGTAGATTTAATGCAGTTTGGGTTATAAAATAAATACCTGAATTTATTATTCTGAAATGGAATAATCTGCACAATGACTACTTGTACTTTGATTATATTTAAGTAACATTTTTAAGGCAGGTCTTTTACTCTAACAGAGTATTCCTACACTCTGGTACTTCTACTTTTACTCAAGTACCAGATCTGAGTACTTCTACTTTTACAAGACCTGAGTATTTCTACTTTTACTCAAGTACAAGATCTGAGTACTTCTACTTTTACTCAAGTACAAGATCTGAGTACTTCTACATTTTACTCAAGTACAAGATCTGAGTACTTCTCCCACCTCTGCCCTTTAAATCATTTAAATAGAAAATGCAGTCAATGTACAATAATTACAAAACAATAAAGAAAAACATTATATAAATATTCTCAGATAAAAGTTAAGATGTGATAGTAAAGTAGAAGCAACTATTGACCCCAAAGTAAGCCGAAATAACATCAAAGCTCTAGCGAACTGTAAACATTTAACACATCTGTCTTCTGTCAGTTTTTTCTGCTACTAAAGATTAAAATGTGATTTTTCTGAATTAAGTTTGGTGGATCATTTATGCTAATGCTAACATGCTAGCTGCTCCTTTAATTTCCGCACAACCCGAGGTGAAACAGGCACTAATACAGTCGCGAGGCGGGTGTAAATGCTAATGGTGATGTGTGAGCTGTTTGTGTTTGCAGTGAATGAACTCACCAGCATGTATGAAGAGGAACACTGACGATAGCAGCTGAAACGTGTGGAGGAAACATGAAGCGTGCTGTTCTTACTTCCTGTTTGCACCTCTACGTCATCATAGATCCCGGCCATGTAGATCAGCAGCACATAGAACTGCTGAGTATTCTCTCAAAGGCAAGACGATAGAACTTCAGGATGACGTCATCTTTATAGACTTTAAATGTGACGCAACATTTTTATACAATTATTTGAGTTTTCGGAAATAATTTGCATTTGTTTTCCTTTTTTTAAAAACAAGAAGGCAATCAAAAACAAATTTGTATTTGATAAACATTTTTGCTTGAAATGTTACCTTTTGTTTCTATTTTATTTATATATATTCATATGTTTTTATTGTACCACGCCCCCCGTAAATAAATACATACATACATACATACATACCTATCTGTAAATGGTATACTATCTTAAGCCAAGTCCCTCTCGACTTCGCCACCACCGCCCCAGAGTGGAGACCCTCTCTCTATCGGGACCACCAAAAAAGCACCAGAAACTTATATATACACATCTAAGTTGTTCGTGCCCCACCACTTTTGTACATATAAAAACGTCACTGTATCTATCTATCTATAAGTACTCAGATCTTGTACTTGAGTAAAAGTAGAAGTACTCAGATCTTGTACTAGAGTAAAAGTAGAAGTACTCAGATATTGTACTTGAATAAAAGTAGAAGTACTCAGATCTTGTAGTAAAAGTAGAAGTACTCAGATCTTGTACTAGAGTAAAAGTAGAAGTACTCAGATATTGTACTTGAATAAAAGTAGAAGTACTCAGATCTTGTAGTAAAAGTAGAAGTACTCAGATCTTGTACTTGAGTAAAAGTAGAAGTACTCAGATCTTGTACTTGAGTAAAAGTAGAAGTACCAGAGTGTAGGAATACTCTGTTACAGTAAAAGTCCTGCATTCAAAATGTTCCTCAAGTAAAAGTAGAAAAGTATTCTCATCACAATATAGTGAAAGTACTTAAGCATTATTATGGAAACCAATAAAGGACTTAACAACAATGCAAACTTCAGAATGAAAATGTAAAAAATCAATCAAATAAAAAATTAAAATGGAAACACGGTTTGACATTTAATGTTCAAAGTTGTACATGCTACACATTTGACAGTATTCAAAAATATTAATTCAAATATATTTAAAAATGTAATGCAATAAACGTAATGTTCCATTAATGCAGGCAATGTTTACGTCTCACAAATAAAAAAGATAAACTGAATTTGACATGTTCTTCAATTTCCATTTGGATTATTGCATCATAATTTGACTTAAAAAACACCAACATCCTAAATGTTGATGTGGAGTTATGAATGAGTTTTTGCCCCCTATGGGCTTCCATACTTTATTGGGTTTTACATACACATACATGTTTCTGTTTTTAGGTGTCAAACAACTGCACAGTTTTATAAAATAATGATTTAATAAACATTTTAAAAAGTGCTATATTAAAATATGACATTTTAATTTACCACACAGAGTCAGAAGTTATTGGAAGTTGAGCAAAGTGATTAATTTCCAACCAAAAACAAGCACAAATCAATGGGTAATATTTGTAAAAACGGCTCAATTTGTTTCTCAGTCACACATTGCATTAGCACGGATTAATACAAAAATAAATGCTGCCAATAAAACATTTTTTAAATCTCATTTTGCTGCAGGGGTTTGTAAGCATGTCTACACTAAATCAGCTGATTCCAATAGAGTGTGATATGAGAGTAGCAGCAGGTCAAGTTAACACTAAACAAATATTAATACACATATTAATTAACAAGGAATATGATGAAGATGATGCTTTGTGCAAAATGAGAGAAAACAGACGATGGAAGACCAAAGTGCTTTTTGATAATCGAATGCAATACACAAAGCAGAATATATTAAAAATCTAACATAGAATCAGTTAATAAACATTTTTTGAATATGTATTTGTACAGAGGGCGACCACGTCTTAAAACACTTCCATTAAAAGAAACGTGCTGCAAGTAAAGAAAAACGCTGCAAGAAGCTCAAAACCCAACGGAGACCAGGGGACACTAAAGAGTGACGCACACAGCTGGGAGACCAGGGGGCACTAAAGAGTGACGCACACAGCTGGGAGACCAGGGGACACTAAAGAGTGACGCACACAGCTGGGAGACCAGGGGACACTAAAGAGTGACGCACACAGCTGGAGACCAGGGGACACTAAAGAGTGACGCACACAGCTGGGAGACCAGGGGACACTAAAGAGTGACGCACACAGCTGGGAGACCAGGGGACACTAAAGAGTGACGCACACAGCTGGGAGACCAGGGGACACTAAAGAGTGACGCACACAGCTGGGAGACCAGGGGACACTAAAGAGTGACGCACACAGCTGGGAGACCAGGGGGCACTAAAGAGTGACGCACACAGCTGGGAGACCAGGGGACACTAAAGAGTGACGCACACAGCTGGGAGACCAGGGGACACTAAAGAGTGACGCACACAGCTGGGAGACCAGGGGACACTAAAGAGTGACGCACATAGCTGGAGACCAGGGGACACTAAAGAGTGACGCACATAGCTGGAGACCAGGGGACACTAAAGAGTGACGCACACACAGCTGGGAGA